TTGGAACGTCAGTATTCAGGAAGGTACTGAAGTGAAGCATATGGTAGGGGGCACGTTATGATTTGCATTTAAAAAGAGCATCAAATATGGTAATACGTTTGAAATAGGATTTGAATTTTTAGCTATTTTAATGAATGTGAACAGGCTTCATGACTTAGTTGCTAATTTTCCTCAGTTTCCCTTTAACATATGCATACCTCCTATCCAACTGAAACTGGAACCTGCACTAAAAAGACAGAAATGAGAAAAGGGGTTGAGAATTTAGATAACTATGCTAATGGGTTTTTTTAAACTGTTAGTAAAACTAATATCTCTTTGTTTTTAACATCTATATTTCACTGAAGTCAAATTTCAGGCTATAAGATTCTTCAAAGCAATTTTGCTTGACAACATTTTCACAGGACAATGTTTTTACTGCCTTAAAATATTTAGAATGAGACAACTGCTAAGAAAGCCTAACAATCAAATCAAAATAGAACACACAGACTCTGTTCAATACTTCTGAGTGAATTTGACAATGCCAAAAGAGCCAGGCTGAACAATGGAAATGAATGTCCTCTACTATTCACAAACAGGTACAGCAATGGGCAGGTGCATTGGAGGTTTGCCCTAACCTGTTCCAACTATGTGGTTCAAACCTACAATAGTGTGTAGAGAACAGAATGAGGGTTGAGAGGCAGTCTAGTTTCCATGCCAACTTAATGCAGGTTCTTTCTTTCGAGCATTCCTAGAAGAGTACCATTTACTGCCAATTGTGTTAGTAGTTCTATACATTAAAAACAGGACACACACTATAATAGGTTTCCAAACATCCATATAGCAACACATTTTCCTTTTTGTCAACTCAAAATTTAAGCCAGACAGCTTTTAGGTAAAAGGATCTGAATCCTATTACATATAAAAATAGAGTACCCACCTAAGCAAATGCAGAAGAACATTTTCTGGCAGTGGTCACTCTTAATTAAAAGTGAATCTTTTACAGCTCTGCACAGAAATGCCTTTGTGAGTTCTTTGGGAAAATATTCAAGCAAAGAGTTTCACTTGAAAATTGTTGACACAAATAAAGTATAAAGATTGCTTGCTGGTTTTTTCTGCATTAGCAGTTGTACTATATTTTTTCTACTTTGAAAACAGGCTAGAAACATATTCCACTGGTCTCTCTGTCATGCTGACCTGATTTATTTGGCTTGGGATTGACAGAATCCAGTTATATATTCAGGGAGTCTATTTTCTCTTGCTTTATTTGCCTTGTGCTAATATATCTCTATATTAAATCAGCATTATACTGCCTTTGTGCTCCCAGGATCTTGTATTGGGTTATTCCCCTGACTGTCACTTAAAAATGCCTCCATTGGGCCATTACAGCAGCTCGTGATTGCCAGGATGCAGGGAAATTCCTGGCATGCCTTTTTTCCTTAGCAACTCTCTTCATACCACCTGAAGGGGCAAGGATAGAAGCCATTATTCAGCCTCTACTTTAATGGAGAAAGATGAATCGCTTATTTTGGTGTAATGGGTTTGTGACCAGGGTAATGTACAAGACTTACATTTAGACTGACCTAAGTAGGGTTAGGTCAATCTAAATCTAAACTTGTGCAGATGTTCACAGGGTTTAAAGTGGCCAAAAAATCGCACACCCAAACTAAGTTAGTTCACTTCCTGAGGTGAACTAGCGTAGATCTAGAAAGGTTTAACCTGATCTATGAAGGGGTTAACCTAATTTAATGAATACTTGCATGCATTTGGAGCACTGCCCCAGGTCTTGAAAAGCTCAGCCACTTGCCCAGCTCCAACACTGTGCTGTTCCTACCCCCTGACCCTGACAAGCTAATATTAGTCCTCCAACCTCTCCTGACCGGGTAAACTCACTGTGGACCCACCAATATTCCCCACAGACCTGCCAGCCTCATGTCCACCACTTTAAGTAAGCCATCTAAACCTAGATCAGGTATGGCAAATGCTTGTTTGCACCCCAGTTCATCTAGCTTTCAGAACATTTTGTACTGGGCAAAGAAAACATTGCTCTAGTTCAAGGAAAAATCTGGGCCTTCAGCTCAACTCTTGCAACATTTGAAAGACAAACATATCCTGAATTGTCTATGTAGAATACATTTATGAAATAATGTATTATTGGCTAGGTTTATTTCTTTAACTTTTAGCACCAAATCTGTGCTTGTAGCAATGTGATTAACCAGGCTGGTAAAGACAACTCAGCTACAGATATATATAGCCAAACTAGTGGCATGCTTTGAGTTTAGTGGAGACCAAAGACTTTTAGCCAACAAACAAAGCCAAATATAATGTGCAGTGTATATGCACAACTTAGCATACATTTTTAATGTAATAAAACAGTTATTCCATTTTTAAAGCAATAAAATTGCACGCCTATATTTAACATAATTAAAAGTTTAGATACTTTTAAAAGAGGATTCAAAAGCCTTACTTTTTTTTTTTTTTTTTACTAATTTCATTTTTAGTCTTCGCAATATATTACATCAGTCTTTTAACTTGCCATAGACCAAATGTGAGATTTAAGAAACACAGTAACATACCTTGACTACTCCAGCCTTCTCTCTACTCCAACCTCCCAAACACAAACATTTCCCAACTTCAGTCTATGCAAAATTCTGCATGAGATTGTTAAACTCATTGCCCTTGCCCATCATCTTCTTGTATTCCCACATTGGTTTCCTATCCAAGATCAGTTTCAAGCTTCCTATAACCAACTTCAAAGGTCATGCCACCTATTCCCTTATTCCTTACTTATCCTCTCTTGTCAAGCTTTGTATTGTTCCCATATTATAGGTGATGCATAGGGGGGCACATGCCTCCCCCTAAATTTGGCCCTCACCGGCTGAGGAATGGGGAGCGCCAGCTGGTGCTCCCCCTGAGAAGTGCCAGCAGCATTTCCAATTTTCTGCCGGCGCTTCTGCCAATGATCGGTTGCTGAGGGACCCCTCTCGCCCGTCAGCAATTGGCAGCTGTTGCCCCCCCAGAGCCAGGAGGCACCAGTCACCCATATTCTCTGTATTTCAGCCTCATCTAGCTTCTGTCAGGCCTTCATGCCTTTTTCCATTATGCTATGTATAATACAACCTTCCAGAACTCATCTAAACCCGTGTGCCACTTGTGTCTATTCAAATCTATTTTAAAGACTCAGTTCTACCGTATTGCCCAGCTCTAACCAAACTGACTTGTTTTTACATTATATATTGTTATTCAATTTCACCTGACATTCCTTAGTCTATGACTTCCTCGGAGAAGAGACCATCTGTGTTAAGTGCTTGAAATCTACCTAGTAAATAGTAGATAATATTGCAAATTTAAAAATTAGGATTTTTTATCAAGAATTAACTTGGTAAATTACAACTTTAAAAGGTTTCTGTTAAAAAATTATTTTTCAGACACAACCTATAATATTTTCAAAATATTCTAAAAGAGGTCTCACCTCACAATATTCAGTGATGATGCAGAAACTTTCTCGCTCCACAAAGCTTGCGTAAAACTTGACAATGCCTGGATGATCTAGCTTGGAGAGTAGCTGTGCTTCTAGATTTGCTTCAACTGTCTCATTTGGCTTGAGATCTCCAACAGAGATTTCCTTCAAAACTTTTCTAGAAAAAAAAAATCCTCCAAAATAAATAAAAAATAAAAAAATATAGCAAGAAATAAAGCTTTCAGTCCAGTTACAGTTTCCTATCATTACGTTTTACTACCAGCCATTTAACTACAAAGTGAAGAGATGAGGACATTTAAAATAAATAAAAACTTAGTAAAATAAAACACTGGCAAAGAGCTGCTAGTCACCACAATGGTACAGTAAAGCAATATTTAGGAAAATAATAAAGCCTTTTGATCAGTAACTTACACTGTGCAATTTTTTGAGACTGCTTTCACTACTATGGCCCACATATATCAAACGTAAAGGAAAAATCAAATATAAAAGAGCTTAGCTTTGAACACTTTCTAGAAGCATGAAGTAAAAAAACGTGAGGAAGATGTGGCTTGTTTTGCTGGTTCTGCCACTG